TTTTTTTTTTAACCACAAAAATATGAAACAAAGTACAGGCAATCTCACCTAGAGGAAGCCATGACAACGTGTCAGAGCAGGGAAGATGGCCGTGGGTCGTGTTTGTCACCCGATGCAGAGTTCGTGAATGGAAGCAAACTTTTGCGAACCCTGCTGTTCATGAACCTAAGTGTTCATGAACAGAAGTGTTCGTGAACCGAGGTATTACTGTATTTGGTAACCTTTCAAATATGATCTAGCTTATCTACACATTTTCCCCTTTGGTTAAGTAGAAAGGAGGTGGGGAAGATAAGAGATTGCCATCATGTCAAAGTCAAGTCTTAAATCACCCAGATAGGCATTTCTGTGTCTTCTTTTGTATCATTTTAATGTCATTCTGGTACTTCAAGCATTAGTTTCAGAAAGCAGTGTTATGGGATTCATGTCTGATATGAAATATAGTGGCCACTGGGCATATAGTGTTCTTTAGGTTTGATTAAAACGGCCTCTTTCTGCCAGCTAAACAAAAGGCCCAAGTAGCAGGAATAAAAAAAGGGCTGCCCCTAAGTTACAGAAATCTTTGCTTTGTTTGGATAGCATATGGTAAACTTTATTTGGGAAGATATTAGCTTCCTCTAATACACCGTTTTTAGCTGTTTCCACTTTTATTATTATTTAGAACATATTCTATTTATGTGAATTATTGTTAGCCATCTTAAACTGGGCACATATTTCAAAAGAATAGGATATGAAATTTTATATAAATAAATTTCCAAGGTCTGTTCTGATCCCAGTTCCTTCCTATTGCCAGCTGAATAATCCTTCTGTTCTCTTTTAATTTATCTCTATGGATAGATGAAAAAGGTTAAACAGTAAATAAAAATAAGAGACATTAAGCAAAATAGCTCTTTTAAAGCAACAAGAACCAGTATTTCTGCTTCCTTACATTTATGGAATTACAAATAGAAAAAGGTAATAGGTTTTCATCTTTTTTTGTCCCATCATAAACGTAAGAATCACCTTGATGTTTTTATAAGTTAAGGTATTATGTTTTAAGCTATGTTTCACTTTAACATTTGTGATAGTTATAGATTCCTCTCTCCACTGATGCCTGATATGCCCAGACTAAAATCTACATTAAAGGGTAATGTAAAAATTACCTCAGCAATTCCTAATAAGGTCATACAAGGCACTAACTAGATAGTTGGAATGTTACTCCTTTGACCTATTCTCATCTTCCTAGAAAACTCTGTTGAGTAAAGGCAAATAAAGGCAAGACCTGACTTGGAATTGCCCTGTAAATATAAACAAAACTTAAATTCTAAGTGTATGTAGCTAAGTTTTAGTTAGTCAGGTCTAGGGTTTGTTTTAAACCATAGCTAACTATATTTAATTCCTTTCTAGAGCATATTCCAGAGCTAAGGCTTTCTAACAATAAAAAGTGAAAATTCTATTTAAACTGTATACTCAAATCTTAACATTTTACATCATATTGAATAGAAAGAAGCAGTAGCTTATTTTTAAAGAAAAAAGAGGAAAAAGTTTCTTACCTTTCCTACTCTGTCTAGCATGCATGCAGGAATTAAGACCCCTTGAAGACACTGAGTCAGCAAAATACTGATACCAAAGACAAGTGCATTACTGTGAAATGTTACATTGACTGCTGGGAAGAAATTTTGGCAAAACAACAAAGTAGTTTTGCATTAACATCAACATTAAAAAAGGTAAAGATTTCTCTTTTTACTTCAATGTAAAAAGAGTTCATATAATCAAGCTCAACTACATTATGGCTTAGTGAATCAGGCCACTAAATTCAGACTGCACATGTGAAATCCTTATCATCTTTAGAAGCCTTTTTCCTTTGTTATGCTCTTTAAATCTATGAATTAATTTTTAGGTACAACGTTCTAGTGGAATATATTGATAAGCATTTCTCCCACTGTTCTGGATCAGGTATTCACTGTTCCAAAAAAAAAAAAAAAAAAAGTGCTGGAACCTCAAGGATCTCAACTCAAGAAGCATATTGTAGAAGAGAATTAGCAGACAAAGATAAATGGTTTCCATACTGGGACTTATTGGTAAACTATCAAGGGGAATTTAAAATCAAATCAAGAGAGCAATTAATAGCAGAAGGATATTGTCGTCAATGGTTTCCCCTTTACAGCTATATGAAAGATTTAAAATGGATAAAAAGACTTATGGTATGGAGCAAAA